ACATGTAAAGATCGACGTTTGAACTAGGCCTTACTTTCCAACAGCCTTGCTTTCAAAACTGACTAGCCTTGCTTCTGCATAACTCAACCCAGGCCTACAGAGTAGTCTGCCATATTTACATTCAGTCTATAGTTGTTTACATGTATTTCTTTATCAAAAAAAAAAAAAAGGAAGGAAAACTTGTATTAAATTGAAAGGCTCAGAGCAAGAACGATCCCTTCGGTAGTTTTCAACTACTTCTGAACACTTTAAAAAATGGCTGAAAAATCAAGGGATTGTTCTTGCTCTGAGCCTTTCAATTGATTGACCATAACATAAGTATGAAGTTGTCTTAACTTTTCATAATAACTAGACAATGATATTTCAAGTTAATAACTTAAAAATAGAACTATGGACTTATTTTGGAACTTGTTTGAGGCACTGGTATTTAATTATGGTAGATACATATTAAGTAGTCCCAGAAAATAGCCATACCACCTCCTGAAGAGGTACTGAAAAGGTACCTCAAGATACTAGTCAAATGTCCTTTTACCATTCAATTGTGAGGAAGGGAACTGTTTTAACAGCATTTCTGTCATAACCTTTTTTTTTTACTTGTAATGCAAGAGTGCCGTTGTAACAAGTTTCTCCTCTTGGAATATCATCCTGGAGTATTTATCAACAAATGGTCATGCTGTGAAGGCAAAGAAAAGACCACTCCTGGCTGCAAGGAGTCCTTCGCTGCACAAGAGAGAAACAGCTATCAAGGGGGTGAGTTGTTTACATTGATAAAGATTACTACTGCCAGTAATAACTTGTTGGATTATAATGTGAGCACCTGAGTACTACAGTCAAAGCTGTATTATTCGGTCAGCCATGGGGAATAGCGGGGTGACTGCTTAATACAGGTTGACTCCACAGAATAGGGGTCAAAAGCAATTTAAAACACTATTTTGCCCTAACATTCATAAGAAGAAAGATAATCTGCAATATGTTGAGGACATTTGAAGTGCTATCACTGATTTTGGGCAATAAATTATTTTAAAAATTTTAAGTGACAGTTCAATACAAACAGGCTGTTTGGACTCAGTGAAGGGTGCACACAACTGCTAGTTAGAGGTGACTACTTAATACAGGAGAAAATTATAGTATCTAAGGGAAACATTTTTGAGACTTTGGTAATGGATGGTTTAATACAGTGTGACTGCGTAATGAGGAGTAGGGTATCACAGAAGGAAAAAAAAATTGTTCAATTTCCTGAAAATTGAATATCTTTTAAAAACACTAAATATCTATCAAGTTCTGAAAATTTTATTTTGGTATCTTTTTTACTTCAGAAGATATAAAGCAAAAAGTAATTTGAGAGTAGAACAGAAGGCACGAGATTGATGACACTTCATGTCAACTTCAACTTGTCACCTAATTAACAATTGCCATGAATGATTCACAATACACACTGTGAAGTAGTGAAATTGCTCATTCACCATCAAGTCTACTTACATTAGTTCTTTCCAAAGGGCAGAGACATTGTCATCCTGGAAAAAAAGAAAATCAATTTGCAGTTTGCATTGGAGGGAAAATATTGTTCAATGATAGTGAAAAGGGTTCCTACTAGACTTAAGAGATTCAGTGGCCAGAGTCTGTTTTATTTAAGTTTCAGTAGGGACTAGTGGCAGTCCACAATCATTTAGGTAGCATTGCACTTTGAGCATCAATCATTGAAAAGTTGTGTTGTGTTTCATGTATAGCTCTCCTTCTTCATCCTGACCTCTTTCCTCCTCTTTTTTGCTGGTTTAAGCCTCTTCCATATTGACACAAATGACTACATATTCATGTGTGTTACACTTAACCTTCTTGACCTAACTCCTTACAAATTGTGTTTGCTCTTTGCCTTCTGGCATGCATCTGCACCAACAAACAAAACAGTGTCAAATGACTTGCTCCAATGCGATTGGGTGACAGCCTTCAGAGGTGTGGAGTGGAAATATATTTATGTAAACAAACACCAACACCCCAAAAAATTTCAAGTCACTTTTTCTGGAAGAGTGTTTTGGCTTGAGGTGTGATCTTTGAAGAATTTATTCTTGGCTGATATTTGGTCAATTTTCATGAAATGTGGAGATTATGTCAGAAATATATGGAACCCCAATAGTATCTCCTGGATTTTCTATTTTTTTCCTTCTTTCTAGAGATATATTGTTTACAGTGAAACTCTGCTCAAAAGTGCTACTTTGAAGTTAAAAAAATGATAAAGAAATAACAAGGCTTTCAAATGCAAATCCCGGACATGTTTTTTAAGGTCAATATGTGCAGATCATGTTCCATTAAAAAAGAAACCTGTTGATTAAAATGCATCATCAAATAAACTTTGCTTGAAAAACGTCTCAGTGTGAATGAACATGCTCCCATTCTGTTTCATGGTAAAAATTATGAAAATAAATTTTATTATCCAAAAATCCGTTTTTAACTTTAAGGAAATGTATACTTATATTGGGTTAGGGCATATAGTTTTCATACTTTCTCAGTTTGACTGAAAATGCTAATTTTCTTTCTGTGATAATTGTTTTATTTCTCCTTATGCTGCAGGTAGACGATACACAGAGAATTCAAGGACATCAAATTTTATAACTTCCCAGCCCTTACCTCCTATTCCTCCTACATCTGTGAGTATCCAAACTGATACTTGCAACATAGATTTGAACCTTGTCCATTGATAATCCAAAAAAAAAAAATTTTTATCAATTTACCATTCATAGTGAGGTTTTATTGAATGAAATACCATACTTTGTGTTAATCATTTTCTTCATTATCAACTAAAGGTAATGAACTAGATGGTTATGCATGATGAAGAGGTTTACCTTCAGTTTACCAACTATTTTCAATGTAAACTGATTACACTGTTCATTTTTAAAATTTTTTTTGTCTTAATTTGCAATTATATTGGAAATTAATGCAGAGTGAAGGACAGCCTCAGCTGGAACAGAAAGCAAAGAGAGAACAAGAAAAGAAACCACCTGAAGTTGTTGTGGCCATTTATGATTTTCGTGGAGCTGAACAGGGTGATTTATCACTCCTCAAGGTTACTGTGCCATTGTATGCATATTTGAGATTTTTTAGATTTAAATGCAATCACATTTACACCTTTTAGAGTGCAGTTGACTTAATCTTTACCAAACTCAAAGTTCTAAAGATATTGTGGTGCTGTGTTGGTGTGGGGTATTGAAATATCAATTGCCCCTGTAAAGAGATTCTAAAGCTCAATTGCTCGTCAGGAGTGCTTTTAACTTGGAAACTGTTTTTTCATGTTTTTATTATTAGCCTCACTTCAATCCCATGCTTTGTCTCTTTATCATAACTTTCTGTCTTTCTGATAATTACTGACTAGTTTCCAACATACTGAGATGTTGCTGTCATTGGATCATCATTAATTTAATAAATTTATTGTTGGAAGGTCTTTAAAGACTTTATTTTCAACAACAATTAAAAAAAAAAAAACGAACAAACTAGGTCAACAATAACATTTTTCAGGTCAGTTTTGTGATTTAATATTCACCTCTTAACTTTACACCATAGAAGTTTAGCATTAAAACTAATTTGCTTGTTACATGAATGCTGAACACAGGACATAGGATTAGCCTCTTTCACTACAAACTTAGTCTAACTTTTCTGTTCTAGGTTGGTGCTGTACACCAATACATACTGAAAAATATTGAGTATAACATAAATGGTTATTGATATCTGTTTCTTTCCTGATGTTCTCTTGCAGGGAGAGAATCTTATTGTTATTGATAAACAGTCAGATCACTGGTGGATAGCCAAAAACTCAAGAGGGTTTGTTTCTTTGTTCATCTTCAATTACTTTGAGTAGCCTGGCCAGGTGTCAGATGATAATCACTATGGACAGTGTCTGACTTAGATTTTCCGTTGCAGAAAGACAATACTCTTGAATCACAGATTGAAAGATCATCTCATCGACAGAGAGTGCATTTCCCAGTATCTTAAATAGCTTGCTAATTCTCATGAAAAAATGTTTTTGTCCATGGAAGGCAGGGGAATCAAGAAAGTTATCTCCTTGAAGTTTATATAAGTTTTGGTTTATGTGCACCATTTTTGCAACAACAGCAATAGAGAAGAGACTAAATGAAACAGGAAAAAATGGGGGTAGACTGTTAGGGGAAGTGAACCAAAATCAGGATCATACTGTAGACTTGTAGAGGTTGTCATCTCTGCAATGATCAATATATTCAACTTGATGAAATCTTTTGAGTTTAGTACATACTTAAGTTTTCTAGATGTCAGGTGACAGTAATGGGTAGTCACAAACAAAAGTCTAATGTCACAGTGACAGTAATTTCAACTTTATGCTTCAAGTCATGGCATCCAAGAGTGCATGTTCTCTTAAAAGATGACAGCCCATAATTCTGGGTAAATTTGAAGTTGGAAAGATAAGATTGTAACAGTTTACTTGTAATTTCCAGAAAACAAAGTGTAGATCTGTATGGTAAATCTAAACTTGCAATTGTTTTTATTATCAACTGTAAAGTATCAGAAAACATAAGTCAGTCTCAAGTTTATTTCATATAGATGTGAAAGCAATAAACTATGAAGGTAGGGGTATGTCATGGCTTTATTACAAAGTTAACATTGATTGGTCCTTTTTTCATGCGAGGCAAATTATGATTTACATAATGCTACAAACAAATGTTTAATTTCAGGGAACAGGGTTACATTCCTAGTAATTATGTTAGAAGACAAGGGTTGGAAAGTGAAAGGTTTGTTTTATTTTTTTATATTTATTTTCTATTTGTGCAATTAATGATCAAGGGTGTGATCTTCAATTGTGATCACCCCATAATAATCGATAAAAACTGTTAATAACTGCATGGTAATTATGGCATGATCACTAAACAAATTGTGATCAGAAATCACCAGAATAGGAGCATTACCAGATCAAGTGCATTTTAAACAACAAGCAGTTTTTTAAGGATCTTTCCTGACTTTTTCCCCTCCTATCAACGTGGATAACAAAACTGATATCTTCTATTTTCTTTTTTTATATTTTGGAACTCCAAATGAGTTAAAATAGGCCAAAGAATACTATCAAGTTCTCTTGAAAAATTGATATCAGTCCTTAAAGGGAAGAAATAAGCTTTGGGCTTCTTGTTGTAACATCTAATGATGGCAGTAAGTGACTTGTCATTTTCAATATTATTGCTTTTAGTTGGTTCCAGCCTGAAATGTCAAGACAATTGACTGAGGATATTTTGAAGAAAGAGGTGAATACATGGTTTTACCTCGACTTTCTGCACTGACTTCAGATTTTTCCATATGCAAATATTAAGTTTTTTACCTCAAATTGTATTTCATATACTATTTTTAAATCATGCATTTTTAGGTGAAAACAAATCAAACATCTATATTTCAGGGAAAAGAGGGTTGCTTTGTGGTTCGTAATTCAAGCAAAGAGGGAATGTACACATTGTCAGTTTTGTGAGTGCTGTCCTTTTGGTTACATTTGATCTAACAGTGTACTGTGTTAGATCCTTAAATGGCCTGTTTTTATGTATCACTTTATTTTCTTTAATGTTTTTAAGGCATGGTGATCATGTTCGTCATTACCACATCAAGAAAGACAATGGTCAGCTTTACATATCAGACAGACACCGATTTCCCACTGTGCCTGAACTTATCAACTACCATCAACATAATAGTGGAGGTACTTTATTATCCTCTCGTTAGTTACACATTTTAACTTGTGATGTTTTGGCAGCACATCAATTGCATGTTTAAGTAGAAATTCTAATGTTTTTTAAACCTACCCGGTACTATAACAATGAGTGGCAAAACACTTGGCATGCTGTTTTATTTTTTTAATTTCTTCTATAACTTTCATTGTTTTCCCCTCACCCCCATTTAATTGCTGCCTGATAGTGTTAACAGAATCTTCAACTTGACAAATCGACAATGGTTTAGCATGGTCAGTACTCTTATTGACAATGCTATTCGTCATCACAGTGGTCAAAATGTTGTAGACTCTCGAGGTGCAGCCAAATGAGTCCACTCATGCTTGCAATTGGACAGTGTACCATAAAAACTTGTGTATAAACTGTACTTGTGTATAAGCTGCACCCCAACTTTCAAGCATGATTTTGAAAAAAAAAAACCTCAAAAAAAGCAGTCTTGTAAAAAAAGTTGGTCTTTTGTTCGCAGATGTTCACAATAAACTTGACAAATGTAAAGTTGTGTATTTGCAGCAACTTTAATAAGTTATTCAACTCTGAAAATACCTTTTAAAAGCTTCTCTTTAATCGATTTTCCTGTTCCCTGTGACTGACAACAATTGTCTTCATTACACAACTGTGAATATACGAAAGTCATATATTTGAACTACAGATAAAGACGTGAATATGAAAGCGATCTTCACAGTAAAGAACACTACTGAGAAGTAGTGCTTAAGTAGTGTTCCTTACTGGGAAGATCACTTTCATATTCACTTATTTATCGGCAGTTCAAATATATGACTTTCATATATTCACAGTCATTTATTCACCAAACCTTCACGGGTTTATATGGAACCAGTATAACGACCAGTTCCCAGTTGGCTTGTTAGCTCAGTTGGTAGAGCAC